AACCGAGACGCGGCGGGCCCGAATGGCGGGCAGCAGCGGCTGGGCCGGAGACCGCGCGCAGGTACGGCGCCCTGACTGGGTCAGCCGCGGCATCTCCGACTGTCGGGCCGGCTGTCCGGCTCCTGTCAGGAGCGGGCGCCTGTCTCACGCGCAGGGTGGTGGGGAAGGAGCGTGTCCGCCTGTGGGCCCGACCGGCGGGGTGGGGAGCGCTTGAAACGGTGGGAGCAGAAGGGCAAGGGAAGGAAGGAAGGAAAGAAAGCAGCGCCGCGCGGGCGCGGGGAAGAGCTGCGGGAACTCTCGCACTTCTCTTTAAGCAGGCGTGGGGGTGATGGTGCAGCACGGGGCTGGCCTCCGCCTCCTTGGCCAGCACGAGGCCCCTCCAGCAAGGGAATGACTAGCGAGGGGCCTCGCAGTTCGGGTTCTTGTGCCCTAAAAGTGATTTTACTTCCCAAATAAATTACTAGGTAGGCAGCAAGGCGCTCTCACCTGTTCACTTCTCTGCTTTTAAGTGCTTTATTCTTTTCTTTTTTTTAATGTTGCAACTGCTTCCTTTTTAAAATGTGATGGGAAACGGGTCGGTACTCCACACCTTCCACTTGTTTCTGAAAGTTTTCCTCCTCCTTCTCTGTTACATGGTTGTTTCTGTGCCAAAGGGTGCTCCACATTTTACCACCATTGCTTAGGGTGCAAATATGTCTTGGTTTATCCGGTTGCTTCTCAGTCTTTGCAGTTAAAGCATTGATAAAAAGGAAAAGGAGGCTGTTTCCTTTTAACAAGCAGGGCATACTCATTGAAAAGACTGCTGTTCATTTATATAACTGCCTAGAGCTCTTAATAAGACTTCACATGCTTTTGAATTCTTGCACAAAATGTCCCTACCCTTCTCTTTACTTTTGCATTAGGTAGGTCCTCCAGTATGGTTGGCACATCATAGCCCCAATGTTTGATTTCACACAGAGCTCTGCAACTGCCTTCAAGGAGTGCATACTAGAGGAAGCTTAAAAGTACCAGTTATTTTTCCTAAGAACAATGTTCATTTAAGCTCAAAATCTCTCCATCCATATCTGTTTCAAATGGAAATGCTGAGAGAAGCTAGGGCTGTTGGCACTGGATTCACAACCCAGTTCTGATACCTTTATTCCTAGCTAGCACAACCCTCAGAGCACAACCCCTGCCAGTTGATAATAGGCAAGTTTATTGATACACAATGATAAGAAATAAAAGCCATGCAGGCAAAGCAAGTACAGCATACGTTACCCAAATTTCCCAGTCCCAGAATATACACATAAGGCAAGCGGTCCATCCATCTGTCCAGTATGTAAATGCCACCTTGAGGTCCTTTGCCAGCAGCCTTGGAGGTCAGTGAATGATGCCAACCATTTCCCCCCTCTCTTTTGAAAACTCTTTCTTTTGTATTCTTTCTTCTCTTGGTGACTTCTGATGACTCTTGATCCGGGGCTGTCGCTGGTTGGTCACACAGCGACATGTCCTGTGTTGTCAGCCAAATCCCTATTTTCACAAGCCTATCACATCTCCACCTCCTAATTTGGGGCTTTACCAGTGTCCTCTTAATTTGGTCTGTCTCCCCAAAACCAGAAAGCTTAAGGCTTTTTGAAAGCAGGCGCTACAGGCCTGGAGCCAGGCGTATCTTTATTATGAAAATAAAGTTTCGATGTTTTCAGTTACCCAGCATGTATGGTCTTAATGTTTTCCTGCCTGGGTTAGACACCCTGTCTGCTTTTGAAGGCTGGGAAACCTGTGCGACTGAGACCCAAGATTTTTAGAAATCAGTTAACCCTTGTTGCTATAACTGTTATAGGTTTCCCTCATTTCATGCTGTACATGCGTTCCTGGAAAGTGGTGCATACCTCGCATTCGCATAAAGGGAACCCACTTTACAGTGTAACAAATAGGGATACATTCCAAGACCTCGACTGTACTGACCTGTTTCTACCACTTTTACAAGACAACTTTGGTACTCGCCAACAGCAGACAGCACAGGGTAGTGTTGAATGTTTAGTTGATGTGGAGTGGTGGGGGTGAATGTTTAGTTGATATGAAGAGAGGGTGGTGAAGGCTTCATTGATGGACCAGGGAGAGGGGTAGGAGATAAGTTAGCAAGATGCTTAGAAGACATAATGGGGTTGGCAACTACAGAAACGTGTCCCAGACAACGAGAGAGGAGCACAGATCCGCATGGGAGCCTATATTTTTGGCGTGTATTACTCCCACAAAGCAGCTAACTGCAGGCTTCCACCACACTGATCGCATAAGAGTGAATTTACCTCGCATATAATCAATTTTTGGTATAAAAAGGGTCATTGCATAAGAGTGAATTTGCACATACAGAACCCACATAAAGCGAGGGAAAGCTGTATTCCAATGAATATATATTGTATATAAGCCAGTTTTCAAAATCAAACTTTTAAATACCATTTCCAAGCCAACAAGGGCTCAGTACAGGCATTCAGAAAGCCTGAGGCAGAATTGATCTAAGTTACACAGTTTTCTGTAAGCAGTGTAGTTTTAATCAGCAGCAAACAGGACACACAATTTGTCCTTTGGCGGGGGTGTAAATCTTAGACTGAGTTCCACCATTTTTAAACCTGTCTGTGTGTGCCGAACTTCTGCTATGTTATAGGTATAGACCAGTTTCTGATCACTTATACTAGTAAAAGTATAATGTCTGTACCTGACCATAGTGTTATTTTGCTGATGTTACCAGATTTGCCCGCTACTTTGGGGTGTGCTCATTTATTAGGGCTAGGGTCTTGGTAATTCTATTAATGTGCTGCTTTTGTTACTGGTGTTTCTATATGGAGCTGTATACCCTCCATACCCTCCAAGGGTATACAGGTATATACCTGTATACCCTTCTGCAAACCCTCACCCCCAATGGAGCTATCTTGCAGGACTCAGTACAGTTGGGCTGGGTTCCTCCAGTCCTCAAATCAGTCATACACACAAACACACAGAGATTAACGTGACGCGCCTGACCAGGCCGGGTTGATCAGCATGGACAGGCTGACACCCTCATATGCCAAGAATCAGTTCATCAGAGCAACAATAACTACAGTCAGACACAAGCACACAGTTAAACAGAATACATCTGAATCCTGCTGGGTGTCCAGCTGACACCCTCATGGGCCAGCATTCTGTTCATTAGGGCATGTCTGAGCCAAACTGGGTCAATCAGCCTGTACAAGCTGATCCCCTTATGTGTTTCAAACTCAGCACGTCCCAATCTTTTAGCCTCTTGATGAGCAGACCCCACAGTACTTTTGGGCTTCACAGGGATCTTTAGCTTACGTAAAAGAAGCGTTGCTGCAGAGCAAGTGCGGAGGGATAAGTAAAGAAGGAAAAATATACCTAGTTACCACCAGTTTGACTATAAAAGTTATTTATTGCTAAGTATATGAAATATACAATGGCACTAGCAGTAATAGACATGCAAAGGAAAAACAAACACAAACAATCACAGTATACCCTGGTTTCACTAAGCATTTGGGGAAACTTAGCTCAAGCTTAACTAATACAGTTCAAGTTCAGAAATCTATGCTTATAGAGGAAAGAGACAGAGCTGGGATCTCACCAGTCCAAGGCACTCGGGTTGCAAAGCTGACAGGTTAAAGTTCTCAGCATGATCCTTGAAGGGAGACGATCCGCCTCCTTCAGCCTCTCGAGAAGAAAGCGAGTGGTGTCAGAACACACACTGCAGCTTCTTTTACAGATTATTATACCCTCAGTTCAGCTTCTTTCAACCATTCTCAATAGTGTAAATCAAATTGTCTTTTCTATTGACAAGGGGTTATCTGGTTGGAACATCTCAGGAAACTGACTGATACTCAGGAAACACATACTTAAGAGCCAGCTTGACATTCCTATGGATAGCAGATATACTAATGGGTTATCTCCTGGTGTTTTGAGAAACAATAGATAGCTTGCAGCATCAGGGTTTTGGATTTTTACTTGTGAACAAGCCTCAGCTTAGCATGACTTTTCCAGATCTTACTATAGTCTTTTAACAGACTTAAGGCAGTTATTGGAGTGTTCATAACCTTTTGTGGAGAGGACTTCCACCAGTCATCCCAGGAAAAGTATGACAACGCTTGTGGTCGGGGCTCCAACGGGCTGAACGTTGTGATGAACCCTTTACTATTGTTCAGATGTTGCCCATACCCCCGACTCGGTGTATTGCCTCAGCATTCCCTAACCCGGCACCCAAGTTTTAGCCAATTAAGTTTACACAGGCCTCCCATAGTGGGACTGGGGAATGTACGGCCCAAGATGCCTATTGAACTTACTTCTGCTTAGAGGTGTGTGTGTGGGGGGGAGGAAAAGTCCTTTGTAAATCCAGATTAGAACTGGTCTGATAAATGCTGAGCTGGGTGTGTGGGTTGATTAGCATTTGGAGCACAGATTCCCCATCATGCAGTGCTCCCCTGCTTCTCTGATCCCAGAATTCACTGTGGTCTCTGGTTCAGGCTTTCTGCTCTCCATCTCTAATGTAAATGAATGGTCATCTGGTCCCATCTCAGATGCAAATGAGACCTAGGGCAGTTGTTTCACTCTTGTCACCCTTGTCTGGAGGGTTTTAAGTGTGTCCCTCACTGCATCTTAATCAATTTCTGTTTAGGTAGAGGAGGGGAAGGGGGGGATTCTTTGTGAGTCAGACAGTCTGCCTCCTGTCTCAGGGTTCCCCAAGAACATGGAGCTGAGAGGTAACACTAATTCACTTGATCCCTTGAGTCTTCCTTTAAAGTGCTGGAAAATTGGATCTGATCTTCATTTCAGCGGTGGTTGCTGGTTTCAGACATTTAAATGCATTAATATATTTGTTGTCCTGCGGAGTCAGGCCAACGCTCAGGATCTCAATATTGTGCTGTTAGACAGGAGGGTGTGGTGTACAATTGCACGTGCACACATAAAAATCAATTAAGCACACACTCACTAGGTGCATACACCCCTATTAGTCATACACACTCACACTACCAGCTCAGGCACATACACTATACACCCCAAAAGTTAGACACAGATCACTAATTCATATATCATGCACAC